AATAGGGCTCAATTTTAAACAAGTCATCTTATGGAAGGTTAGATAAATTATAGGGCATCTTCCATGGTCTCAAAAGTAAAGAAAGGGCTGTGGGAGTCTACTGGGAGGGGTCTTGAAAGGTCGAGATACACACTGTGAAGCCGGGCAAATGGCATTTTTATGTGTTCGCTGGGGCATGGTGTGGGTGAAGGAAGCTTTAAAAGGAAAAGGTAAACATTTGCTGGAGTCTTTGGTATTGAAATTAAACAAAGCCATGCCTTTGTTCCAGTTTTATAAGGTAATGGATGGCAGAAAACTCTTTAAAGCTGGAACTACTTCATATACAGAAGGAGTAATCTTTAGAAAGCATCTCCCTGAAGATATTAACGGCTTGATCTTATGATCTTTTGGTTAGAATGTGGAGAATCCATGGTTTCTGGCCTGAATTCTGCTTAGGGCTCTCTAACTTCCATGCATGAGCTGTTGTATGTGTGCAGAGAGAATTCAATTACACAATTGTATTTCACAGACTGACAGTGTGTGTGTGTGTGTGTGTGTGTGTGTGTGTGTGTGTGTGTGTGTGTGCACCATGGCTAATATTTGTTTAGGGATTACCATATGCCAGGCACTCTGCCAGATGCTTTATATACATTATGCAATATCCATATTTTAAGTGGATATAATTTTTTCACTTAACTAATGAAGAAGTTGAAGCCCAGATTAGTTAGCTAGCTTACTTAGGGTTGTGCAACTAATGCAAAGCAGAGCTGGAATTCCCACCCTGGGCTGCTGGAAGCGTGTGCTCTCTTCACACTGCCTTTTGGTACTGGGAGGTTCTAGTGGCAATGCCTCCTACATCATCTCTGACAAAGGGGCAACCATCCCTTCCAGGCAGCTTGCCTGCTACGTATCATGCATTAGGCCAGGCAGTGGGAAGTCATGGACAGGTAAGCCAAGCAGAATGTCTGCTCTCAAAGAACAAGCTGGCTGGGTTGAGAACTAAGACATAAATGTAAATAACTGTAACATGATAAAGAGCCAGGAGAGTTCTGGAAAGGGGGTTAACTTTTTTATTTAAAACAATTTCCCAACTTTTTATCTTAAAAAATTGCAAATGAAAAGTTGAAGAACAATACAATTTACACTGTACATCCTTCACCTAGATTGACCCATTGTTAATATTTTGCCAGATTTGCTTTATCTTCTCTCTCTCTCTTACATACACACACACGTACACACATACATGCACACACCCCTACACTTCACTTCTAAATATTTCAGCATGTGGAGAGATCACCTGCCTGTGGGATCAGGGGGGATGTGAGGGAGGATGTGGGATATGAGCTGTGTCTTAAGGGTCAGGTGGAAATTAGACGTGTGGAAGTTGGGAAGAGCAGCAGCCCAGGGGTGCTCAGGTGCGAGCAGAAAGCACGAGAACAGGGAATTGTGGAACACGGGAGAGAGGCAGAGGTGCCTGTAAAGGGGATGGTAGAACACCAGAAAGGATGAGACTGCTGTGAAGAGAATTGGAGGAGGGCAAAACAGGGTCAAGGCTGGCACTTGGGACCCACCCATTTAGGGGATGTGGAGGAAGAGGAAGCAGACAAGGCAGGAGTGATCAGTCAGGACTGTACAGAGAAGGGGAGGCAGAGAGAGGAGGAGGGCAGAACCTGGCTGGTGAAGTCAGTGCTGCAGGCAGTGGTTTCTCCTAGCATGAGCCTCGTCCTCCACAGGCAGCATGAGCCTCAACTTGGGCAACTGTTAGAAATGCAAATACTTAGACCTCCCTCCTCAGACCTTACTAAATTGTAATCTCTGGGAGTGGGGTCCTGAAATCCAAATTTTGACAAGGCCTGGATGCACACTAAATTTCTGAACCCATGCATATAAGGATGCAGTTAAGAAGGCTGACCTTGAAGAAAGTAATTTTAGTAGAATAGTGAAGACAAAAGTCACATTAAGAATACGCCAGTGACATGGCTCACACACTGCCAGTAATTTATATGTGCATGTGTATACAAAGCCATGTTTAAAGACATGCATTGCATTATGAGATGAAAGACTGGAAACAACCTAATGTTAAAGAAGTTGTTCCTCCATATTTCATGGCTCTTTAAAAAGAAAAAGAGCTGTCTTCAAAATCTGTTGTCAAAGCAAGACGCAGAACTGTATGTTTACTATGTCACCATTTGTATAAAAAAGAAAAAGTTATGTACTGCATAGCATATTTCTAGTAGGACCCACAGAAGCTGTGGAGGATGCTCTAGAAACGGTTGGTTGATTGGTTGGTTGGTTGGTTGGTTGGTTGGGGAACACTGCTGGCTGGGCAGTGTTTTCACAATTTACCCTTTTGTGCCTTTTGAACTTTGTGCTATATTCGGGTATTACAAACTCAAGACAAATTTTAAGTGTTAAACACGATCAGAAAAGGTTTAAAATAACAACAAATGATCAGAAAGTTGAGTGAGTGAATCTTTTAGTCTGTGCTTAAATTCCTCCTCTGACTGGGAGCTTATGACTTGTGCAACAGCCCAACCCGTTGTTAATGCAATCTCCAGATTCTTCCTTAACCTGAGGTGCTGTTTCACAAGATGGTGTTTAGTGACAAAACCTGAAAGCTGAAGAACTGCTGAGAGATTTCTCCCTTGCTCTCTCCCTGACAAAACCTGTGATTTTACCCCTCTGAAAGTCTCATGCAGAGATAGATTTTATGTTTTTAAATTCACCTTATTTAAGTGTTTGTTTAAATTAAAATGCATCACAACTTATCTGCCTTTGAATTATTTGGAGATAACATCATGCCATACCTTGAGAGAGAATCCAGGCAGGAAGCTATTGTAGCAGTCTGACAGGAAGGAGGATCTGAACGGGGGTATCAGGAAGACAGGAAGAGGTGAGCCTCCAGCAGCAGGTGGGGAGGTGACATGGATGGGGCTTCGTTGACTGTGCTGTGGGGGTGAGGAAGGGCTTGGAGTCAGAGAAGAGGGCCAACCGGGACCTTAGATCCCTGAGAAGAGAATGACCACAGTGATGACAGTGAACTCTTCAGTTTTCATGGCAGTTTACAGTTTAAAAACATGATCTCATTTTAACACATCATAGTCCCAAAGTAGGTGCTATGCCTGTCTGACCTCTGCATGGCCCTGCTGCCTGCTGCCTCTGTCCCAGTCCATCCCACCTTCCTCTGCTGGATTTCTCAGTCAGGGTGCTTCCTCTCTGTTTTCCTGCCCTGACTCCCCCCAGCAATCTAGCTTCTTGTCTTTCCTTCTATGAGTCTAGCCTCTTGAAGGGGCCTAGACTCACTTCACTTCTGAACCTGGTGGCCTTCTTCTCAGCCCTAACTCTCCTTGTGCTCCCTGTAGCTTGGCTGTTGGGTGCTGTGGCCGCAGTTCTATCAGCTCTTCGCCTCCATGGTACACACTTGACCTCAAGTGTCTGGCACTTGAGCACAGTGACACAGGCATCTTGGTTGGCCTCTTCCCCCTTTTTTTCAGGCTCCTTCTCAACCTCCCCAATATAAACCCTCTTCTCGCACTAGGAAGCTCTCTTTGCTCTTTCCAGAGCCAGCACACATTTTCTTCTCCACTCTCATCTAGCTCAGGACTCCTACATGGACTCCTCCATGGCTGACTTGTTGAGCTCTGTCTTTTTCATCAAGTTCTTGCAGCATGCATAGTCTGGGATATTTAACATAGTGTCTTTTATTATATTCATTCCACAGCATGAAAACTGTTCTATGCCCACTTTTCCTTGAAAGCAGGGTCCCACCCTAGATGTCTGTATCTGCCATAGTATCTACATATAGTATTTTCCATAGCATTTATACATGTACATACATATATAGATTTATGCTGAATATATAGCTGGTGTTCCGTTTATGTTTATTCCACTTTTGTTTGATATACAGACAGATAACAATTTTTGAGGATAAATCTGGTCAGAACTGCTAACTACTGTATTATCTTGACAACTTCAACTACCCAAGGCAATCTTGGTTCTTAGGCAGTTTTGCGTATGAAAATATGAGCATGAATGAAGAGGGACATGTGTACTTAGAAAAGTAATTTTCTTTTAATTCATTGGACAAATATTTGTTGAGTAACTCCCATGGGATGGCACTGAGAACGGAGTGAGTGTGGGGCAGACAAGGACCCCCCTTAGTGGCCTGCAGCCCCAAGGAGCAGACAGGTAACTCAGCCCTGCACAAGCAAGCAGCAAGGTGACCCAAATAATGTTCAGTACTATGAAGGAAAAAGAAGAGAGCGGGGTGGCCTGAGCCACTGGTCGTAGGCTGGGTGGGAACAGGCCGAAAACAGCTATAGGTGGGGCTGTCGGGGCAGTTATTGCTGAAGAGTTAACATTGGACTGAAATCTGAATCATAACAAGGATGGCGATATGGTGATCAGTGGCAATGGCATTGGACCTGGGGTGGGGGGTGGCAGGCACAGCAAGTAGCCTATGCCATCGACTGGTAACAAGCTTGGTATATTCTGGAAATGGAAAAAATTGAGCACTAAAAGAATATGGAAAACAATGGTTGAATATATGAGTAAGCCCAATGTGTATATACACAGACATACCCACAGTATCTACAGGAGAAAATATAAAAAATATATGATCAGGTTTTAAATAATTTCTAGTACTGTATAAATGGAGGTGTTGGGGAATCTAGAAGTTTCTTGAATTCTCAACAAAATAGCAAGCCTTCTGAGGTCAGGGAGTCTGTCTCATCATTCTTGAGTCCCACCTGGTAATGTAATGCCAGGCACAGAGAGAAGACACTCAATACATATTTGATGAATTAATGCATGAAGGAAATGAATGAATGCCCGACTAGTATTTCACATGTTAATATTGTCAACTTTTAGTCTGTCTTTCTGCCTCAGTGTGGCAGTGCATCTGCACCCAAATACAATTGTTTAAGATGTAAGAAAAATGCTGAAATACAAGAAAACCATCTATAAGGTCTTTAATAATTCCAAGAACCAAGAAGAAAACAGAGTACAGAAATTGGCAGGGGAACACTTAAGCATTTATGTATTGTTCGTGTTTTTGAGTGAAAATGCTGATTTCTTGATGTGTGCCATGTCCCTGTATTGCGGGGGGGTGGGGGGTGAGGCATGTGCAGTTTCTTGGAAAAGAGCTCTTTAGAATTTCAACATAAGGAAATTAGTTCTCTTTAATCAGAAGTATCTTCTTAAAAATGCAAGATAAAGTTGTTTAAAAAGGAAAATAAATTCTTTCCATCAAATCAGGGACATTCTGGTTTTTAAAATCCCACATTGCTTTGCAAATCAAGGAGAAGCCCATTTATTTTAATAGCATGCTCTCAGAAAAATCTTGGTAGTTAATCTAATATAGTAACTCTAAAGCCCATTGATCTGTATTTATTTTAATAAATCTTTCTACACACATAGTGTAAACTGACAGACATGCTAAGCTGGGTGCAGTCACTTGTCTGTGTAGGAACTACAAAGTGGGGATGGGAATCATAATTAATATGTAAAAAGAGATTTTGTTTTTAAAATGTCAGTTGTCATGAGACTGCCTCTATTTATGGAAAGGTCTTGGGATATTTAGAAACACTCTATCTGAATCTTTGAACCAGTGGTAAAATTGTAATATCTGTTATCTACCTGGATACACCTAATTTAATGAATATTTTTCTAAAGAATAAATTATGTGCTGTCAAATTATAGGAAAACAAGTAACTGAGGTTTTGAAAACACTGTATGAACATATTTAACATAATTTTGGGGTGACAGTCCAATTGTTCACAGCACTTTTATGCTCTTTACATAATCAGAGCTCCTACTGAAGTTAAAAAGAACTTTCTGTGCTTGACATTTGGATGAACATTTGGTGTGGGAAACCATACCTTTTCCCTAAGTTCTGTAATGCATGCGCTTTGTAGATAAACTTCCAAGAAATTTGCTCTCACGTTTGCCTGCTGAGTGTGGACCTGGGACATGGTTGGGTTTGCAAGATGAAATAAATGCATGCTTATCAATTCCTAAGCCAAGGTTTTAGTTAATGTCCTACCATGCCTTCCCAACTGCCCTACCCCCAAATGCAGTTAAAAGTTCAACCATTTGGATTTGAGTGCAGCCCAGCGAGACTGGGATTGATACTGTGGGGCCCTGAACTGTGCTTTGCTATTGAGTCAGGCAGCCAGGCAAGAGGAAAGCTGTGCCAACCCTATTATAAAATCCCTGCCTGTTAGGACAACTCTGGGAGCTGCCAGTGCAGTGTAGTGGAGGAGGTAGATGTTCATGTTTACTTTTATGAAATCAGGATGTCATGAATCAAAGAAAGCCTGCTGGACCTTCCACTATGGACCTTTCTCTATTAAGAGATTCTAGCCTAAGTGTCTCCAGGTAGAATCTAGGGCGTTGTAGCTCATTTGATCTCAAGACCTCTGTGGGGTGGCTGACTGTTATATAGTCACTCCAAGGAGGATTTAGTTATTTATTGTAACATATTGCTAGTAAGCATCTGCTCTTTCAGTGGGTCTGTCCTATGCAAGTGGCCCTTGTAAACATATACATTCCGTCAGCCCTGCTCCCTTAATTGAATCTTGGAGCTGACAGACCACAATTAACATTGTATCCTGTTTCACTGAGTATATGTCCACGGTGACTAATGTGTGGATAAATCAGTGACCCCACTGTGAATCCTACTAGCTTAGGAAATATTCATCAGAACACTTCTCTTCTGGCTTCTGCTGTAGTAGGCAGGCTTTATGAGGGAGTGGAAAAAAACAGTCTGGATTGAGGCCTCTGTGGATTACAGCCACCAACAGGAAGATATCTACATGAATCACAGGGCCAAGAATATGGACAACTGCATAGCTCCCGAGAGTGACTGATGGATATGCTGACATAAAGCTGTGCTTATACATTCTAGCCAAGATAACCCCATTGTTGTAATAACAGTAACACTGAAAGAGGTCAGGTGATCCTAGGAAAATAGGCTTTTTTTTTTGAGATAAAGATCAGCATTTGATATAATCCTTAGAGCACCATAGTGTCTCTGTCTCCTCATCTGACTTGTGTGATTGCAGGACCATAACTAGTGTGTCCATGCTAGTACGTAACAAAGTCTCAGGGAAGTGGCAGGTGTGAAAATATTTGTGGCATGGATGAATGTTCTCTGCAGTAAGGGCATCTCCAGGAGCAGTGGACAACATTTTCTGTCTCCTTTTACCCTGGAAGTTCAGTAAGAAAACAGGCATGGCATATTCTTTCTTAGTGGTCTTACTCAGATTCCCTGCTCACTTGACATTTGCATTGTTAGCCACTCCTTTTCTTTTCCAATAAACAAGCATTGGTGGGGTCTCTGGTCTCCTCCCAGTGTCTGCTCAGGTTTGTCTCACTCATGTTCTCCAGGTTCAGCACTGCACTCTGTGCCCTCATAGCCAGAGTGTGCATCTCTCTTTGGAGAGCCCTGACTAAAGACGGTTATTGGTTCTTGCAGGATTACTCATCTGTCTTCCCCTTGGACTTCAGCAACATGAGGCAGGCGTCTGGCTTTCTTTTATATTCCCTCTGTCTAACATTGTGTTTGGCCCACCATGGGCTTGTGTTTGTGTTTACAGGATGAATGAATGAGTGAACAAATAAGAGGAATGAATGAATGAAATTAATGTATTCATGATGAGATCATTCTGAAGCACCTATTTTCAGATGGTGGCTGGAAAACTGAAAGCCTTTGGCACAATGCACAGGGTTCTTGTAATTAGTTTGTCATTAAGACCTGTCATCTGGCCTTGACTGCTATTGATGAGGTGCCTTATTAACATGTTTTTCATTATCAAGTAAGGGGTTCAAAATAAAATAAAATAAGATCTTTTTATAGATATAACATTAAAAATGAGATAACTGGTTATATAAACTACCAAAAGCCTGTAGGCATAGAGCTTGAAATGAGTTAGACTAGGACTGATAGTTAAATAAAAAACTTGAGTGGCTTTTACAATGCAGCTCATGGCGGTGGTTCTTTGACTTCTGCAGGGCTGATCTCCATGTGTCATTAGCCGCTCCTTTTCGCTACCATTCCTGTTAATAAACAGGCATTGGTGGGGTTTCTGGTTTCCTCCCAGTGTCTGTTCAGGTTTGCAGGTGAACCAAAATTTCAAGGGGACCTAACAAAACATGAGTCAAATAGTACATCTGATGAAGTGGCTTTCAAAATACATGACTATACATACAATTTTAAAACAATAAGTGATTTAAACCCTTATGTTAAATAAGGATAACACATGTGGTATCAAATGAAAATAGTACTGAGAGATAATAGTAGAATATAGTATGCTTGGTATTTCCCAGACTTCCTCTTAATAGTCATATAGTTGCCACATAAATCGAGGTGCTGCACTCACACTTTTATCACGTGAAACTTTAGTTTATATATAAACTTAGCCATATACACTCCTCCCCTTATTCTCCCCAATATTTTATAATGAACTGTTAGTTTTAGTTGTTCTGGTCAATGCTATAATCTTTAATAATTTACTTGGGTTTCCTTTTTTTTTTTTTTGATTAATGCAATTTGTTGTATGCCTTTATGCTGCCACTGTGACTTGAGGATGCTGCTGCCTTCCTACATTTCCTTTCTCCCAGTTCATGTCTTACCTCATCCAGCTTCTCTTTCACTTTTCACTAACATGCAAGTATGTTAATATTTTCATTCTGGTGACATGTCCGGAGTTTCCAGCAGTTCTTGATAGTGGAACTAAAACTTGGGGCTTTTGCCTCTCATTCTAGTGGATTTTCTACAGATAACTCATTGATTCATTCATCAAATGTTCAAATGTTTACTTAACACCTTTTCTCTGCCATGCACTACATTAGGTACCACTAATACAAAAATTATAAAAAATAGTCTCCAGTCTCATATGTAATAGTCAAGTGGGAAAGCAGATGATGTCTATCATGTTTAAACAAACAAAAACTGTTTTACTGTAATAACGCATAAGGGAAAATGTGATCTAATTTTTGTTTTTTTGTTTTTCTAATCCCCCAGGTCAGAGATTAGAGAAATTGATATAATTATTAGAAGTACAGCTTTAATAAATGTTGAAGAGATAGAGTGTTTTACCTAGCTAACTTGTGTATGTTTGAAAAACAAGTAAAACTTTGCTGATACACTTTAAAGAAAGTGATTTCAATTGTCTCTTTTAAGATTAAGTATGGAAGCAAAAATCTTTATATATTTATGATTACAAATTATCTCATAAAATCATTTTATGTACTCTGCATGTTCTTATGTCAGAGTACTGAAATATTCCTCAGTTTCCCTTATAGGTTTATTTAGTATTTTGATTTGAAGTCCACAGCTTATGTATTTTTTTATAGTTCCTAATTTTTATGATGACTTGTGAATTTTCTCTTTCCTTTCTCCCTCAGATTTTCATCACTGTGAATTGCCTGAGTACAGATTTCTCCTCCCAAAAAGGGGTGAAAGGACTTCCTTTGATGATTCAAATTGATACATACAGTTATAATAATCGTAGCAATAAACCCATTCATAGAGCTTATTGTCAGATCAAGGTCTTCTGTGACAAAGTGAGTAAAGATGACAGTTTGTTATAAAGGTATCTTTGTTATTAGATATTACTTTTAATGACACTTCCCCCTTGCCACCTTCTCTTATCTATTAGTGTCTAAATAATCACCACCTTATCAATCACGGTGGGAGTTATAATTGTTCATTCCCAATTCCTATTAGATATCTAGGGAGTCATCAGTCAACTGAATTTTTTTTAGTCAATTATTTTGCCACTAAGTTAATGACTGACATTGCACTGTGCTATGAGTCTGATTTATTAGGTAACTGAAATAATAGATTAATAGTTTTTACTGGGCATAAGCCTGTGCCAGAACATATCAACATAACCTTTACTATTTCATGGGTTAAATGGTGTATCTTCTAGAACTTTTTAGGATGGAAATGGCATCTACAAAATAATTTCACTAGTGAACATGCACTCAGAAGATGTTGTTTTTTCACCTCCTGGAAACCCACCATAAGAAACAGTAGTTAGAATATCAAAACTTAAAATCCTATGATTATGTGACAAGAGATGCTTACAAATTCCAAATATGAGTGTAACTAAACATCAACAATTTTAAGACCTGTGTCATATGAGCATCATGAGTGAGAGCAGTTGGGCTACTTGAAGGCCAAAGAACAGGAAACCTACAAAATTACCCCCGGAGCACTCATTGGAGAGTGAAGTGGACCATCTGAAGGCAGTATGTGAAACTGGAGTGGTGGGGAAGTAAGCGTATGAATTCTCTGTACTCCAGTTTGTTGGTGGGTACAAAGGAATGGAACATTGAAGTGTTTGGGACTCTGAACTCTGGAAAGTTATAAATTGAAGTTCCCATCTAGGAAAAAACTCTGCTCTGAGAAAAAGCTGCTGGAAGTAGACTCCAAGTTGAGCTGAGCATCACCCAACAACAAAAAAAAGGTGCAAAGGAAAAAGAAGTTCCAAATAAAAAGGAGGAGGTGGAAGGATACAGAGTAAACAGATCTCAGGCTATTCAAGACCTTTTTTTTTTTTAAAAAAAAACACTTTGTAAACACACTAGAAGAGAAAAAATGAGACCTATGAAGCTAGAACTATCCTGGTCTATTCATTTCACTTAAAAATGACCAACAGAAAAGAAAAACAGTTGAATATCATACCATGTCTCATGAGAAAAGAGATTAAGATCAGACTGACTTTCCAGTGGACAATGGATACATGCGAGACAGATATGCCAATAAAACAGGTAAAACTGTAGCCTAATGTTCCAAAATGAGCTAAATGAAATTAAAGGAATCATAGAAGCTGTGAAGATCAATATAAATCACAATTGGAAGACTCAGAAATGAGATGTTTGGAGAATAGAATGATTTCAAAGGAGACATGATAGAATTCAGAAAATAATTTAGAAATAAAATACTAAATAGGTCAGAAGTAGAGACTATACTAGAAGCAAAACAAAAGTAAATATCACAGATAATACCTTAAGAGAAATACAAGTTGTAAAAGAGCAAAATTCTAAAGATTAGAAAAATGCAGAAATAATAATAGATAAAGAAGATCCAGTATACATATAATGAAATCTTTGAGGAAGAAAACAAAAACAGTGAAACAGGACAAATGTTAAAAATGATAAATCAGAAAAACTTAAATAGAAAGTATATATATTTAAACAGCCTGTCACATACTTGGGAAAATTGACACAGGATAGCCATTACCAAATTGTTAAACTATTGGACTTTAAAAATATTCTTTGGGCATCTTAGTAAAATAAAATAAGTAATAAGTCATTTATAAGGAAATTTTATCAAACTTTTCAACAGCAACACCTTTTCAGAACACAATAATATTTTAAGTAATCAAATAACAAAAATGTGAGCCAAGGATTTTATATCCAGCTAAACTAACTTTTAAGTGTAAGGACTACAGGCAAAAACAAAACAAAACAAAACCTCACACATACACAAACCTACAAAAAACAAGTGTAAAAATCCCAGGAATAATCCTTCTTGGGGAATCCAGTAAAAAATAAACTTAGCAACTAATATGACTGTAAAGACACTGATAAGAGGACTGATGGTGAACATTAAGTATATATTTACTTATAGGTCTAATTCTAAATGGAGATACAGTAATGGCAATATGATGTGCTCTGATAATATAGACAGTACAATTATTTGAAAATTGGGGAGGATGGGGAGAGAATATGAAAAATAGAATAAGCTGGTCAATTGAGTATAGGTATTAATTGGATGTAAAAGAACAAAACTTCAGATTAGATCCTGAGGAGAAGAGAGGAAAGGGAAAAAGAGGTTAGTAGCTAATTTGGAATTGCTCAGCACTCTTAGAGGTGCTGCAGCCAGTTGTATCGAAGGTCTACTGTGCCATTAAAATGTCTGAAAGTTCTGGTTTAACAGTGATAGGATGTAAAGAGAAGTAGGCTTCTGTGAACAGAAAGCAGAGATGGTCATGAGACAAGAGAAGAAACCATTAACTAGCACTGCCCTGGATTTAGGGACATACAGCATAGTAGTACCCACCTCTCAAATCTGAATAGCTTTTCAGGTCATGATGATTTCAGTTAATGCCAGTCATTGAGCCATCAGAGCAGCACAGACTCTAATGAATAATTAGGCAGCCTCCATGACACAGGGGCCAGTTAAGTCAGCAGACACTATTGTTGGGTGTTGAGAAAACAGTGGTCACAAAGCTAAAGTACCTTGTCAGTGTCACACAGTAAGAAGTAGAGGAACTAGATGCAATTTATAGTCTGATTCCAAACTCATACTCCTTGAATTCATAAGCAACTTTATACATAAAATACCAAAATGACAATTTATGATTCAAAACCTTAATCAAGAGCCAAGGTAGTCCTTAAAAACAAAACAAAACAAAAAAATCAACTTGTATCTTTAATTCAGCATATGAAAGATTAAGAAAGCATTTTCAAATGATGCATAACATAGAATTTTTAAAGGACAAATGGGAGAGCATTTAAATAATTTTAATTCCCTTACTTTATTCCAGATATTTTACAGGTGATTATAAAATCCCCGTCTGTGAATCTCCTTCATGGAAGTGAAGAGAAAGATTAAACACAAGGAGAAAGGAAGGGAAAAATGGGATGGAGGCACTGGGCAATCCATTTGCCTTTATGTCATAGTTGGAATTGAAAGTGGGAAAGAAAGTGCTTTAGAGATGCTCATATAATAATTTTTTTAAAACAGTGTTGATGGAAAAAATACTAAAAACAAACCAAAATGCAGAAGAATAGAGAATGTCATATTGTTATTCACTGATGCCCTAGAATGAGAGGGGCTCCAAGAAACTAGTGACGTAAAGAGTTTCTGGTGGGCAAGTTTTAATTTACAGATGCTGATGTTAAGGGTCTGGAAACTCATAAGCCAATTTGATAAGAAAACATTATCTCATTGTTTTACTTCAAGCCATTTGTGTGTCCTTTTCTGTGAATTGCCTATTTCATGACTCCTGTCCATTTTTTTTATTGGTATGTTAGTTGTTTTTTAAATTTGAATTATTATTTATTAAAGATTTCATACAGTATGTGATATTTTATTTTAAGTACTTTCATCAGTTTGTCTTTTGCCTTTGAATTGGTTTGTTTTCATAACAAAAGGATTAAATTTTTATATCGTCAAATCTCTTTTTTGTGTGTGATGCCTTGGGGGCAGTTTCTAAAGGTTTAGAGGTTACTGGCCAGTCCACACTTTACTATTCCCTAAAGATGCTGTGGTAATGGACAGGAGCTAGAAATGCATCGCCCCTCATTTTGTTTCTTAGTCCCGAGACTTGTGTGCAGATGGTATTTTTGTGTGCTTGGATAAATGCCTGGCATTGTCTGTCTTTGTTTTTCCCTGTCAGGGAGCAGAAAGAAAAATCCGAGATGAAGAGAGAAAGCAGAACAGAAAGAAGGGGAAAGGCCAGGCTTCTCAAACCCAGTGCAACAACTGTGAGTGTTGCTGGAAAGGGTGGGCTCTGGAAGGGGCGGATCCACTGGAGAGCAGGGGGCAAGTAGTGGGTTGTGGGTAAAACCATGGACATGCGAGGGATGGCTTGCTTTTCCCTAGCAGGGGAGACTGGCTAAATTGTCCCTCTGGAAAGCAAATAGAATCACATGAGCACAGAGTGTTTGAGTAGGAGGGACTTTGTCATATGGAGACCAACACCTTCTCCAGAGAGGAATCTAGAGTGCAGAGAGGGACAGGGGGTGTGAGGGGAGATGTGCTCAGGAGTGCTCATTCCAAGTCCACACATTTTTGGTTAGTTTGGCAGTGGGGAAGGAGGTGGCAGGCAGAGAGGGGCTTTTGAAATGTATTCACACCTGTGGCATTTGGAAAGCTTCATAGGAGAAAATCACAAACTTCAGCTAAGACTAGGACTTAGAGTTGAGGGTTCACAGTCACGCATCACCCACTCATTTGTGGATTTTGTGATCTCATCCAGCCTCTGATGGGAAGTTGGCAGCAATACCGTTACAGAAAAAGAGCGACATCACCTATTTCAAAACGATGCCTGATCTGCACTCACAGCCCGTCCTCTTCATCCCAGATGTTCACTTTGCAAACCTGCAGAGGACAGGACAGGTATGACCTTCCCTTTGACATCCTTCCTTGGGGCAGGGAGAGCCTTAAAATAGAATCACTTCAGGCAGTGTTGACCTTATAAATAAAACCTACACTCCAGGCATTCCACAAAAAGTCAAACCACTCCCGACAGAAAATGGATTTTTATAGAAAGAAATGTCTCATGAGAGGGGACTTACCAAGAGGAAGAAGAGAGTGAGCCGATGATTAGTGAAGTGTTGACAAAGCATTGAAAGAGGAAGAAAGTAAGAATGCTGATAACCTGTTGAGTTTTGTTTTGTTGGTTTTGTCATGTGAGATTAGCCTGATGCAATAGGGCTCCGCCTAATGGTGGGAAATTGAACTGCACCTATAACTCCAGATTGTTGCACAAGTGGAAAAATTCTTTGATTAAATAAAACTCTATGGACAATTTTCCCCTTAGTAAAGGAACAGTTCCCATTGAAGAGGTAAAATCATTTCATACCAAAGGAGGAGTGAGACTATAGACAAGCTTTTTTGAAAACAGTTCCTGTCTTCTAGGTATATCTACAAGTGAAATTAAAGAGCTAATACTAAATAACATAAACATCCAATAATTAACTCATTGTACTAGCTCAAATTGATGCAATATTATGCAGCCACTAAAATTATAATCATGGAAACTATGTAGCAATATAGGAATGAGTTATAATACTGTTGAGTGGAAAAAAAAGTAGATTTCCTATTTGTGTCTAAACTGTGATTCCCAGTATATACCTGAACTTGAAAGTAATGAGAAAAATTGTAATATTGATAAGAAGGATTATGAGATGGATTATTTTTTCTTTCTGTAATATGTTTAATATTATTTAATGTGATAAGTTAAAATTGTTTGAAAAAGTGTTCAGACATTCATTGAAATTGACCTTATTTTAGGAGGAAAAATCATTATTGGTTTAACTTTCTCTTTCTTGAGAATATTTCTCCCCCATGTTGTTTCATTATATGTATAAGACAAAACAGTTATACAACCAGACCTTTTTCATTGCTGTTCATGACACAACATGGTAACAAAATACCATAGTGTTTTAGAGTGCATTCCACTGAAAACTAATTTAATATTCCTATCGTGTCTTATTGTTTGATTGGAACAAGGACACAAAGGGAAAAGAAGATGCTATGATTTATGAAGATATGACGGCCAGCACCTATATTTATTTATTTTTTAAAAAATTCCCAAGAACGTGACAGTGATGTGTGTATTGACAGTCTTTGTCCCATGGGATCCCATGAAGCTAGGTGGACACCACCCAGAAGAGGGGATAATTGAGTTAAATTGTTCTTGTTGTTTACTGTCCTGATCCTGGCTCCAGCTCTGTGTCAGAGCCCACAGCATGACCTGTTCTCTTGGCAAGATTTCTCTGAAGTATACAAAGCTGGAAATGAGTCTTAAGAGGAAAAGTGACCAAATCTGGCTGCTCATGACTGTCATTCCTGTGGCCTCACTGGTCCCCTTCAGTCCTGAGTGGGGCCCCTAGCCTATGGCTGAATCGAAAGGAAAGTATAGGTAGCCTTTACAGTCTGTTGGTTTCGGCAGTTGCAGAGCAGCCCCAGTGTCCCTGGGCCATCAGTGAGATTAAGCCCTGCTATTTGGGGACCACCCTCCAGCTTGCCCTGTGGCCGAGTCAGAGTTAAAGGGCTCAGTGAGGGAGCCTGCCTGAGTCTCGCAACAAAGGAACACACTCAGCTGCGCCCTGGAACAATGCATGAATATTCTGTGGTTGATCAATTTGCTTGGCTGAAGGAAAGGAGCGCCTACAGTGGCTGCCTGGGACTTCAAAGGCTGCCTTTCCTTGGAAGAGCTGGACGCCTGGGAGATGGGTCCAGAGGCAGGAGAGAAGACAGCAGTGCCCTGGCATTAGAAGTGGGCATGCGGGAGCAGCTGGCTGACTTTGACATGCAAAACAGGAGCCAGCAGTGGCAGGTCAAATGATGGGCCTGTAAGTGGGGGCAGGTAGGGGAGGAAGGCAGACAGTAGAGAGCAGCGCAGTAACCGCTGCAGGTGTGCGCCTTCTTTAGATGGGCTGCATGGCGGCTCTGCCCAACTGCAGAGCAAGCAGCCCCTCTCACTCTCAGGGTCAGTGGGACACCTGGAGGCTGGCTGAAGGCACATCGGCTACAGTACAGTGACTCCTGGTCAGCCACGGACATGGGCTGCGGAGTGGGAGCACACATGACCCTCCTTCCCCATCACTGCTTTGATTCACGTGTGGATTGGAATAGCCATCAGACAAGTACTGAAAACTTATGAGGGACTGAACCCAGGGTGCAGGCTCCCTCTCCTCACATTAAAGCCTCACATTCGCTGTGCCTTTGTCTGGAATGCCTTTAAAAGCAAGTGATGGGGAGCTTGGGAGAAAGGGTGGGATGCAGAGGTACCATCTTTCTGGATGATGTATGCTTATTGGCTTTTCTCAGGGCACCTGAACCCTACGAGGACACCACCCACCCACACACACCCTCAAGAACAGTCTTTCCAGTTGTAGTTTGTGAACAGTCTTCCCCCAAATGACAGGAGTTCTTGTTAAGATTTCAGGTTCCCAAGTTTCATTCTAGGGTTTTCGAGTTAAAATCTGTGAAGGGAGTTCCAGGAATTTGCATTTGTGATATGGTCTCCAGATATTTTTTATGCATACTGAAGTTTGAGAAACATTCAAAAAATTGAATATGAGCAGGAAGTCCAAAACAACTAGAAAGAAACAGTGGGTCATTATGTTAGAGAAGGAGAAACGACAAAGCAAGAACAGTGATAGGGACAGTGTAGTATAGGTCATTCAGGAGCACAAGAAAAAAAAGAGAAGATTGCTTCCATCGTTGTGTCACCAGTCAACTTTGCAGAGGGCTGTCCGTTACTCTCCCAGAGTCAGGCAGGACAGACGCATTATGCCACATTTAAGGAAACAAGCAAAAAAAGGCCTTTTCAAAAAGAATATTTTTTGGAACTTTTTCCAAAAAGTTCAGTTGTGTGGTCAGTACCCAGGCTCCCTCACTTACAGGGGTCACTGCATATCCATCCAAACAGTCCCATTTCTAGGACATCACAATGGCAGGTGCTCCCATGGCACCCTGAAACTTGGCGTATGAAGGAGGAAACATCTGACCTTCTGTTTAAGGAGAATCAAAGTATACAACAGTAGATATAAAAAAATTTAAGAGGAAAAAGTTCTCTATGGAAATCTGAACTAATGAGTAGGATGACTCATTCCCAAAGGGTTCCAGGTAACCAGCTTTGTTACATAAGTCAGTCTGGGCTTGGCAGCATCCCAGAGATGGCCAAGAACCTTTGAGAAAGTTTGTAGGGAGGGTGTCAGTCTAGGCACAGCTGCGTCTCTCCCAGACCACTGGGGCAGGGCCATGAAAAAATGCACTAGGACAAGAGGTGACTTGAAGTTAATGTGTAGATGCCTGATAATAACCTCGGTGTTGTTCTTCACCCAAATGGAAAGGGCCCTGAGCACACAGATAAAGCTCATGAAAATTCTGCAGTAAATTTTTATAAATATGTGACCCAAGAGGACTGACACACATAGCAAATCCCCTCTGGATTTCTATTGTTTCATCAGATAAGAATGCGTCCTAATGTCTTTACGTCTGACGCAAAGCTGATTCTGCCAGCCACCATGCTGACCACCCACAGAAGGCTGTTCTCAGAGGTCTTCCTGCTGGCCAGGAATGTCTTCCAGAGCTCAATGTCCTCTGCCCAGCCTACAGACAGTTGGCTCCTAATTTTTGTGACTGTGGGATGCCAGGGTAACCCAATCCCCTTTGGGAATAAAGAGGCCTGGGCTTATGGCCACACGGCCATGGACCTGCTTGTTCCCCTCCCCTCACCAAAGCACAGTGTCCAGAGTCAGCCCACCTACGGGCTGGATGGGATTGGTTACTCACAGGCCCAGCTCTACCGCCTTTCTAAACAATGATATTTAGTTCCTGCTAAACTATTTCCTTAATGTCAAAAGCAAGATTTGGCTTAGGGCTATAGGTAATCTGATCAGACTGACCTGAGCTAGAACTAATCAGCTTTCCAATTTTATTTCATTAAAAATCTAAGAACTAACCCTAGGGAGAATGTGAGGAGGTTAAATTTGCATTTCCTTAGAGAGACAGATGCAAACACATGCACACAACGCATCATTAAACAGATTTGTCTTTTGTCTTTAAGAGACAGGGTAATGCCTTAGGAAAGTGTGTATATCATATAATTTATTTCCATTTCTTGCATCTGACCTACAGTAAACCTGTTGTTTTGTTCCACAGGTGTACTACAACACAGATGATGAACGAGAAGGGTAAGACACTCATTCCTTTCATTTAAACACCCGAAGTCAGTTTATGTCAGTAGAAATGGCTCTTCGAGCACAGTGTGACTGCGGGCAGGGAGTGGGACCCAGAACTGAGGAAGGCTGGATTCTGGCCACTGTCAGGAGGAAGGCTGGGGAATACTATTCCCCTTCCAAATCTCTCTTCACCCCTCTCTTCCTCCTATAACCTGCCTTTGAATAACTAGCCATTTTTCTAAGTGACACATCTCTTTGATTTTGACTTTTCACTGATAATCCAGTTACTGAAATCTTTGGCCTGAATACAAGATCAAGCTGAGCTTGAGGCAGGAGCCAAGGAGACAGTCTACCCTCATTTCAGTCCTACCTGGGCCACCTGCACATACTTCTTGAAGCCCTCACTTTGGGGAGTGAGCCTGGTGGGCTAGAGGTGAGGCTGCTTTGAATGGGAGCTGGGAAGGCTGAGCCCTTGTCACTGTCCTTAGAATGGACATTACCAGAAGGATTGCATGAGGTCTCTGAAGGGCTCCAGTGTCTTGCATATCAAGTGTCTGACAGCACTTCTCTGTCCACTAACTCACCTCATAGACTCCTAGAATTTTAGAGTCAAAAAGTAACTTTTCTAGGTCATTTAGCCTACCCTCTCTCCTGATAATGTAACCCTATACACCACATGGTTGTTAGGTGGTCAGCCACTTTCCATTTGAATCTTCCCAGTGATGGGAAGATGCTGAATACTCTTGCTGTGTGTGAGATAGCTCATTACACTGTTGGACAGTTCCAGCTCTCAGAAAGTCTGTCGAACTCATTCTGTCTTCTGACTTCCGCCCACTGGCTCTAGTTCCGCTCTCTAGGTTAAGTCTCAAACTTCCCTCTTCAAGCATTGTTTGACCTTTCAACATCTTAACTCCCCCTACAGGAGATACCACCAAATTTGTCAATAGTCTTCTTAAAATTGGCTCTCAAAAATACACGTGTTCTGAAACGCATGAGTTAGAGATTATATTGGGATAATTTCTTCTTATGACCTTGATGCTGTTTTTCTCTTAAAGCAATCTAGAAGAGCATTCATTTTTCAATATCTATGTTACTTTACATATGTCCAACTAAAATCTTGGTTTGCATTACATATGTATAACTGAAATCTCTAGATCATCTTTTCAAACTATAGTCAAACCAGGGCTTCCCTGTTCCTATGTAATTAGTGTTACTTGTAAAATATTTCGAGGTGAAGTAAGTGGAGCAGATATTGCTGAGCTCATGTCCAAATGCAGAGCTCTGCAAACTACAGCCAAAGGACCGAATCAGGCCCACCACTATGTTTGTGCTATCCCCAAACACTTTTCAAATGGTGAAAACATCCAAAGGAAGAATAATATTGCATAACATGTGAAAATTATACAAGATTCAAGTGTCCATAATAAAGTTTCATTGAAACACAGCCATGGTAATTCCTTTATTTCTTGTCTATGGCTCACTTGGGTGCTACAACAGCAGAGCTGAGTAATTACAATAGAGGTCGTACAGCCTGGAAAGCCTAAATATTTACCAGTCTGACCCTTTACAGAAAAAGTATGCCAGCCTCTGTCCTAAAGAGAATCTTAAAGGAGTCAAATAATTCTCCAGCTGGTTAGGAGCGGAACCTTGTCTAGGATCTGACCTCTAAATAGAGTGCTAAATTTTCTAAAGACCTAATTAGATTGTTCTTTCAATCTTGTCTCATAGGCAGTATATTTCTAGTGGCTGGAATGGACCAGTGTGATTAGCACTGTCAATTCTGATCTGTTATTCACATGTTTTACAAGGGACAGTGTGGTGTCATGGAAAGAACGTTGACTCTGAGCCCAGGAAGCCCACGTTCTGCTCCTGGGCTGCTGCCTACCATGGCGAAGCCTTGGGGCAGCTCCTTGACCTCTGGGCTTTGGTTTCCTCCATTGTAAAATGAGGGTTTGTATAAGTTGAGCTCTAGGATCCCATGTAGCACTAACACTGTCCTCGCGGGAAGACTTAGCTGAGTAAGAAGTGCTGGACACCGGATGCTGCTTCACACTTGCTGTAATCCTCCCCAGCCCAAACTGTCCTTCCTTGCAAGCTGACGACATTTAGGGGCCAGCTGACCTATTTCTGACTCTTTTGGCTTGGTCTCACTGTCAGAATTACCCGCTGTTCTTGCATAATGTTGAAGCCAGGGACCTGAGTCTCTTACATGCCTAATTAGAGTTCAGTTGAGCAATGTGGGCAGTCTTGAAGCCTCAGTGTTAATACTAATACTGTTGTATTACAAGCAATAACTAGTATCCACTGGATTCCATGGTAAGGCACTGAACTAAGTGCATTCTATGCATTATTTCATTGAATTCTCCTAAAATCCTCATGGGGAAGTTGCTCTAATTACTTCCACTTTATAATGAGGAAGCTGAAACTTCAAGAGATTAAGAAACTTGCTCTAAGTCACCTAGGTGGTAAGTGGTGGAGGGATTTGAGGGTGGGTCCAGCTGCACACCGCACTGCCCTTTCTCCTAACCCTCTCATTCTGGATCTGTGGCTGCCAAGGAGGCATCAAGCGAGAGGCCCTTGTTGCGATAGCTTTCTGACCTGGACAAAGGCACATCCTTGGCTGATACTTTGGTGTGTAGGACCCAGATTGTGACGTGCCCAGACAAGTGTAGCTGGCAGAGGGGGGCAGTTCACCTGGCCCTGAGGAATGCCACCTTCACTGGTGACTGCATGGCCTCCATCGGGACTGTCTCTGGCCTGTTCTTCACTCTCAGAGGCCAATCAGTCGGTTAGTATGAAAGCATCTGATGGAGTGTTTGAGAGCATCGTTTCTGCAACCACCAGCTGGAGGAGATACCCCAGCTGAGGCACCCCAGAGCCCCTCTCCCTGCAACTCCAAAGCCAGAGTGGCGGTCAGACACAGACCTGTTCACAAGTAGGAGAGCTTTTCAGCCTGAAGTGCCAACAAACCTGAATACAATGAAAGAGGAAATGAGGAGGAGGCTGGATAGGAAGCAACCGCCAGCCAAGTGCCTAAATGGAACAAAAAGAGGAAAACCTGTTTGTTCCTGCTTTCTTGTCTAATGATAAAGTGAGTATCTGGGGTGACATCTGGTGCTGAATTTGGGGACTGACAGACCCTATGTAGGTTTGTTTCATAGGCAGGGGATACAACAAATACAGAGGCTTTTGGATCCCAGTTCTAAGCAGCGGGGCATCACCTGGGAGTTAAACTATACTTGCCCACAGGCACTACCTCCAGGGGTTTTGATTTAATTGGTCTGGGATGCAACTCAGGAGTGGGGACCTTTTTGAAGTCCTCAGGCAATTCTAATGCTAGAAGCGTTTGAGAACCACTGCTCTAAAATCAGTCAGCCATGATTTGAATCTGGCTTTGACCTTACAAAACTCTGTAACCAAATATAACAACCTTTTGGATACTCAGTTTCCTCATTAATAATAACAAATAATAATACCTACCTGCTAGAGTTATAATAATCATTAATATGTAAAATGTCCTGACACATCGAAGGTGCTATCAAAAAATAAAATATCATAGTTATTATTATTGTTAAGATTCCTTTTCAGGCCCTGACTAAATGATACTTAATTGAGAAATGGGAAAGAGGGAGATGAAAAAGAATGGAAAGAATGTGCCACATGGGGAGGATTTTCTGTAGAGGATGGGCCTAACCAGACACTCAAGAGTGTTTTCATATGGGGAAGAGGGAAGGGCTTTAAACCCCCTGAAATAATATGTGAATTGATATGCGAATGTCATGCATGGTGAAAAACTCTATTCTGTTATTTCTGGGGATCTGGTCTCCTTCTCCACTTGACCTCTAGCTCCGGGAAAAGCCGTCTTGCCTTGAACCCCTGTCCACACTGGTCCCCCTGAGGTTCCCCCTGTTCCAGCCTGCAGGGAGGCCCCTTCAAGCAAGTCTTGCAGCTCTGTGGCTTCCTCACTGCCTTTGGGGTCTAGGGATCCTAGGCGAGTTTGTGTCCCTGTGTCTGAAAGATAGTGGTTTCCTTCCAAGAACCTGCCATCGTCGTGATACTGCTTGGGACCCTCAGACTGCAGCTGTTGCAAGAATTTTTCTCATACTCCTCTTTCTTCTCAAAGGTGCACCACCATCTCTCTTGGGTCCGCCTTGTATGATCAAAGGTTGAAGCTTTAGGAAACAAAAGCCAGAAGGCAAACACCAGGCGGCTCAGCCCTGTAGATTGGTCCCATACCAGCTCAGAGAGCCAGCTTCCCAAAGGGTCTTCACTCGTCACGTCCTGCTCGCTCCAGCAGAGGGCCCTGCTTTCCTCTTGTAGTAGGGGGAGTGCTGTAGATGGGCAGACTGGACCATGAGCGCAGTTACAGTGCTGCTGAAGGAGGCAGCCCTGGCTGCTCATTTTCCATGGAAGCAAACACTTTGACTAAAACTCAATACCCTTTGGAGAAGTTAGAGATTATTAACCGACCATCAGTGAGTGCATTTAATCAACCTAATATTAAACTTAAAAAGTCTTCACCTTGTGTTCATCACACAAAATAAAATTCTTCTAGAATTCTGTACTATTTTTCTTAAAACAGCAATTTTTCAGATCCTTAAAGGAGCAATTTCTCAGATCCTTTCTTTGATAAGGTTCTCAGGGATGCTAAACAAACCATGAAATGTAGGGTAGGGTGGGTTATGTTTTACCACATATACATGAATATAAAGTAATTAAAAATACAGGGCAATTTCCCAAGGAGAAGATGAAAACATAAAGCTTTGGGGCCAACTTAAATAGTTAAACCTTTTTGGTTACAGCCAAAACAATCAATAATCTATTGATACTTGCTTGGTTAATTTAGTTCATTTGTGGCACCATACAATGAGATTGGACAGGGTAGCAGGAGTCCTAAAATTGGTGCCCTTGTCATCTGTCAACACCTATGTTTAAAGGGTAGCATATTATATCATTTAGAAATCACATATTTTATAAAATGTCTTTATTCACATTCTTTTCAACTCATTTTTGACAATAGTCTTTCTCACCCCTGAAGTTGTCTTATGTCATCTTACACTGTTGATCAGGGGAGTTCTCCACTACTGTCACAACAGAGACATAGCACTTTTTATTTTATTTTTATTACTAATTTTTTATCTGTTGAAATATAATTGATATACAGTATTATATTAGTTTCAGTTGTACAACACAGTGATTCAACAACCACATACACCACTAAATGCTCACCATGATAAGTGTTGACCATCTATCAACACAGAAAGAAATTACTGTGTTATTTACTATATTCTCTGTGCGGTACTTTCCCAGGTGTGGCCAGAGACTCAGGCTTCAGATGGAAGCACCTTCCCTTTTTTTTTTTTTTTTCTGATGAAACTTAGCAGTCCTTTGTTTATACCCCTGGGGCTTTCTTTCCCTGAGAGTGTCCTCAGAGGACAAAGGCTTCCTGTGCTGCCAGCCCTAGAGTCATGCCATATGTTAACCCACGTTGTGCCAGTGTGATGGAGATTGATGTTAGAAAAAGCACCGTCTCCTCGTTCTCTAGTTCCTTTGTGGCGCCATACAGTGAGATCGGACAGGATAGCAGGAGCCTTAAAATTGGTGAACTTTTCATCTGTCAAAGGGGCAGTCGTATCTACCCCTTTTCTTGCCTTGCTTTGAAAATGAGTGAAACTTCTGAGTTCAGACCACACAGACTTACTGACTCCTCCTGGGTTTATAGATTTTAAAGTGTGCAAAAAAGCATTTTTGAACTCCTAAGAGACATGTGGTTTATCCAAGATGTTATTTTAGTGGCACAGTTTGTCACATCTCATAACAGGGTGCTATCAGAAGTCAGCAGGACTGGAAAAATGTAAATAAATCTTGTTTGGCAAGAAGAAGACAGTCAGCTTCACACAGCATGAGAGTGTGGGGATATTTCAGGCTATTTGCCCCTTATTTAACCTCCTGGTCATTGACAGCTGTGTGAATGGGTTTGTAGTCTTCTGCTCCCAATGTCATGGTCACTCCAGTTCTAAGATATGACAGAACGACATGACCTACTTTTATAATAAGGCAGTGAGGGGACGACCGAGGGAACAGCACCCTAAAAAGTTATTACACCTTCAGCTGGGACGTCAGTTTGAGTTTTTCCTCTAGCTGTTTCTATAGTCCAACTAGCCGGGGAATAAGGCAAGAGGGTGCTGATTCCTGTGTGATTTCTCATACCCTCACCATCATTGCAGATTGATTACCTTTATCACGAGATTGTCCCTCCAGCATGGGTTCTGTAAACAGCCTGTTCACTTGTCAGCTGCATTGCCCTGCACTTAGCGCACTAAGCCTTTGGTGGTCCTCACTGTGAAAGGGGTAGGATGGCTCATGAAGTGTTCATGAGACTTAATTGACCAAAGATATGAAACGCACTTTGTAAACTGTGAAGTCTTATTAAGTATTGACACAATTTTGGACCACGTTGAGTATGAGATGGTCAATTAAAGTGTTGGTTTAATAATTTAAACTATCAGAATAAGAAATACATTTTGGACTGTCCACTCTTTTGTACATGTGCTCTTTCTACCGCTGCACCTCACCATTAGCTTAACTTGAGAACTGGTAAATGGCTTCTTAATGACAGTAATGCCAATGGGGAGTTGGCTTTGGAGTGGAGTTTTGTATTATCTTGGAAGCTTGGTACTGATTCAATGTCACCCTCCTATGCAGGAAGCTTTTCCAACATGAGTCCTTAAATCGCACCTTGGTGGTAGTTTGGACTATCTGACGGTAAATAGGGACTTTGACCTCTTTCAAGCTCTCTGCCTTATTTACTCTTCTCCAGCCCTTCCTTAAACATCTCCAATTTTAATTATCATCATCATCATCTCCATCTAAAACTTCAAGGGTACTTGCAATGTATCACTCACCTTGTGAGTGCTTTACATATGTTGAATTCACTTAATTTTAACTCTCAATATCCTTCTTTTAAAGACAAGGACACTGAGAGGCTCAGGACGCTGAGGAACTTGTCCATGTCCCCATAGCTAGTCAACTACAAAGCAGGGGTTGAAACCAGGGTAGTCTGGACCCAGAGTTCATGTCCTAACCATTCTGCTGAACTGCCTTTGGCATTGCCTCATGTGCCTGGCCTCAGGGATCCTCAGAGAAATGAAAAGTTTCTAAAAACCTACATCTACTCCCTTGAGGGCTTGACGATAGTAGGATCCCATTTAGGAGCCTTTCTCAGTGTCTGAGTTCAGGCTGCTGTAACAGAATGTCATGAGCTAGGTGACTTAAATGTACTGCTCACAGTTCTGGAGGCTGGAAGTCTGAGATCAGGGTGCCAATATGATTGGTGTCCAGCAAGGACCCTCTTCTAGCTTGCAGATGGCCATCTTCTTGCTATGTCCTCACATGGCAGAAAGAGAGACGGTCCCTGCTTATAAGGGCATGAATCCCATCACAGGGGATCCACCCTCCTGGCCTAATTACCTTTCAAAGGCCCCACCTCTGAATACCATCCTACCAGGGAGTAGGGTTTCAACATATGAATTTGTAGGGACACAAACCTGCTGACCATAATTCAGCATCAAAAGCTTCTCTTCAAAGACAGTATATTCCTCTGATGTCTGTTCCTCTTAAACAGGCCTCCTCTTCCTTACTGTTCAAAATGGACAGGAACTTTGAGAGAAAACACAGAGCCATCAGAACTGGCCCAGCTGGGGACTGGTGGGACCTCAGCACTGTGAACTCCAGGAAGGAGGACTGAAGCCGCGCCCATGGGGAAGGACAGGGTGGGGCAGCCAGGGGCTGGGTCTCTGGGGAACGCATACCACCGCAGTCTCATCTGCTCCAGCCAGAGGAGCCATAGAGCCGCAGGAAATGAGGGCAACCCGTGACTAAGAGCCAGCAAGGCAGACCTGCAGCATCCGGAGTCCCTGCTGTGCCCCTGGGGCTGGCGCCCGACACCCACACCCAGGCCCCAGACAGATGGGACGGGTGGGCGTCACTCAGAGACTGCACAGACCGAGGGCCCGCAGCCCTGCTCTCCTGAGCAGGAAGGGGCTTAGCTGCAGGACAGAGTGGGTGAAACCCAGAGCGCTCACCTGCATGGGTTATACTCAGCCACAGGCAGATGGCTTACGTCCTTGCCCTAAAGAATTGGTGTTTGTGCTCAGCCCCAGACAGGGATGACTTAGGCCTTCCAGGGGGAAGAAGGAGGTTGGGGAGTGGATCCAGCCATGAAAGCCCAGAGATGGTATAAGCACAGGAAGAAGACATACACTGACACATGCATGAACCTTTGTTCTGACACCCTGCATGCCTCACTAAACAACTTCTGCTCATCTTTTCCAGCAGTGTCCTTGTGAAAAGGATGTTCAGGCCCATGGAGGAAGAGTTTGGCCCAGCACCTTCCAAGCAGATGAAAGAAGAAGGCATGAAGCGAGGTATCTCCCCTGTCCAGGCACTCCGCTGGCATTGTGGTGCCACCCCCCACCTGGCATGAATGGGGGTCTCGTTTCACCACGAAGACTGCACAGCCCCAGCCAGATCCCTGTGCTTCGGTGCTGGCCTGGGGATTTGTAATTTACCCGGAAGTTCACAGTCTGCTTGCTTTCACCCTGTCCTCTTAAACGCCTTAAGCAAACAGTTATGCTCACTGTGCACAGTTTCTTTTCTTTGCCTTCAGAGAAATGTAATGAACATACTGACTCATCCAGCAGGGAGATAGAAAGTTAAAAAAAACTCTTGCTGTATATGTGACAATAACATCTCATAAGCACCAGCAGTTGGAAATTGTTCAATAGATGCAAACAGTCAATCTCATGCAAATAAATGACCCTGTTTTCTGTGACATCACACTTTACTCATTTCTCTCAGTCATGGGTCTTATTCTGCTTCACTAAGAAAGTAAAAACAAAGAGAGAGTGTGTCAGTCTCTCTGTACACTGCTTATTGACCCTGGAAAGGTGCTGTGCTCATAGAGCCCTCATTTGTAAAACAGAGGTGATGGGAGGCCCTGCCTAAAAGAGGCCCCTGAGGGTAGCTGAGTGAATGAGTAAAATACTTAACTCAAGAGCCTCACACATAGTAAGCACTCTGTGTCCACTATTATAACTATTAGTTTTATTACTAAGCCTGGATCTAGTTAAGGTATGTTAATTGTGATTAAGTAATTAGTGTTTCATTCTCTGGGTAGTGTTAATTATATTAGCAACATTTAAATCTTTAAAAGAATCTCTGTCTTCACAGCCTCACCATCAAATAGGCAGGTGCATTTGGGGCTCCATCCTGCATGCAGTTTTTATCTCATGTTTTGGAATGAGGGCAGAGTTGTATGGCAATCAAGAGTCACATAGGCAAAGGTAACTGTAGCTTGCATCCATAGTAGTGCATGCTGGCTACTCCAAAGGTGGTGGTTTCAGATTATTTTGAGATCGTGAAGTCAGCGCAGAAATTGCCACTAAGAATTGTGCTGGGCTGTGATGAAAAGCAAGTTCACGGCCTCTGAAACATCTAAATCATAGAGACACAGGAGGGCACTGCATCCTTTGAGCAAATGGAAACCGGTCTCCCAAGAGTGGCCTTTCCTCCGACAATGTCAGTGGAGTTACTCAGCCCCTTACCTGGAGCTCCCGCTGAGCTCGTCTTTGACAAACCAGGAATCAGGATCAATGATGGTTCCTATTGTTTATCTGTTAGAAGTTCTCTAGGAGAGAAAATGATGGGAATGATCAGCAATGCCATTGTTTGTCATTTTGCCTTTGTAGCTGCTTCTCAGGGGGGCCGTGTCGGAGTCACTTGGGGCTGCTTTGGTGGCTGTCTGCCTTTGTACGGTATCTGGGAGGTGTGAGGCTGTTACCGCTATGTTAGTAGGGTGGGTATTCCGAGTGCTCTACCACAGATGGGCAGTCAATGGGCGCGGACTCCTACGAGCCGTGGGGGGTGCTGTAAGCACAGCACACCCAGGGTGGCTGTCAACAAGCCCAGCAGGAGAATGGTGGCACTGCCTGGCCAGGACTTTTTCCCACAGCGCATCAGTGCACCATGATACCACCTTTACCACCTTTAACCCCTTCCAGTGACACCGGCAGCAAGAGTAGCAGCCATGCTATTTCAAAGGCAATAATTTTAAGAGATGAAATTTATAAATCCAATGGAAGCAACAGAACATGTCAACAGATCATGGTTTGGGGTTTCTTTAGGGTCAACCTGTTGGAAACTACATTTTTCTGTTGGGAGCTGCAGGAAGAAGTTATTCATCTCTAACAACCACAAATTGTTTCTCAGCTCTTTTCCCATCTGCTTGTACTTGAGGTCCTCTGTGCTATTTCTCGTTGTGCTGCCAGCACTGGGTCTTCCTGTGATGAAGTTAGATCACTGGATTATCTTAGCTGAAAGGGTCTATTAAATATTTCTTCCAAAGGCCTAACTTGGAAATCTTTGGAGACACATTCTTTCTATTTATTTAATTGGTATTTTATTTTTATGCTTGGTAAAGAGAAGAAACTAGCTCTGCAGTAAGTAAGTTGCTCTTCTTGGTCATACACAAGCTGAGCATCTGCTGGCTGCGTAAAGAAAATGTCATGTGGACCCATGTAGATTTTGCCTTATAAAGCAAGTGGCTTTAATGAAGCCCTTAGGAATGTGGGAGGGCAGGAAGAAAGGGTAGGAGTTCTGGCTAGTGCTGATTTCATTTCCTGGCTCCAGCTTCATTCTTTCAGGTTGGTGGTGGCTGCAGCTTGGTTGGCATCTACCTGTAGTGGGGATCCAGGTTCAGATGGGTTTTTTAACCTATGCACTCTTCCTGTAGTGGCCAGGTGCATGGGGCTTTGGTGCTGACCCTATTCCTTTTCTCTGAAGGAAGAACCAGAAACCACACCTCTGGGAGGAGAGAGAGAGAAAAGAGTCTGCCCACTGGAGCTGTGGGGGTGCATCTGAATGGCAGTTGTCGGTTCTTTCTGGGGCTGAGTCCAAGTGCAGTTGCTATAAGGAAGGGTATGCGATGGCAGGTGTCTTCCCCTCTCTAATGACACCCGGGGTCCTTGCCATCTTGCACGTTCTATGCACTGTCAAATGCAGAATGTTACCTATCAGAGCATTGAACAGAAAGCTGCATTCACCTTCACTGACAGTGCTAGACCCATGAGCATCACGTCATAACAGCAACCACCAACTGGGCAGTGGTGGCTCACTGTGTGCCAGGCACACAACTGAGCATCCCCCGTGGGGGATTTCACTCAACCCTCACAGCAACCCATGGGGCAGATATTATTATCCCTGCTTCACAGAGAAAACCAAAGCTTGAAGAGGCTAAAGACCAGGACCACACAGCCCTTTAAACTGGGGTCAAAGCCAGACCTGCTCTTCTCCAGATCATAAGCCTCTCCCTGGGCTTGCCTCTCACATGCACCATCTCTTCCCCGGCCTTTGCACATACTGGTCTGTCTGCCTGGAGTCGGCTCTCTCTGTCCTCTCTTTCCCCCCACCCTCCTCACCCCCTCTTTCCTGCATTGATGCCTACAAACTTTTCATAATTCAGATCTCCCCTTCAGGGGAATGCTTCAGGAACCCCAACCCCCACCCTTCTAAAAAGTTCAGGCCCCTATTGCACTGTCTTGTGTCTTTTTCCTTTATAACTCCAGTAACTCTGTTCAGCTGTCTGCTTATTTGAGAAATGCCTGCTTCTCTGAGTGGACTGCCAACTCTGTAGGGCAGACCATGTCCTAAGTCACAGCTGCGACCCCACTTCTAGCACACAGCTTGGATCTAGGGGCCCAGATGGGCACTTGGCAGTATTTGTTGAATGATCAAGAAGGAGGTTACAGAAAGAGATGTCAAAAAGAGGTCATGTGTCCACCTTGAGAAATTCCAATGTGAACAGTATGTGAAAGCATCTTATAGCCTGTTTGTTGTTACCAACTGTCAATTTACCCCCACTGAATCTCTCCTTTGTCCCTAGCTGCAGGCTTTCTATGCAGATGACATAGACACTATGGAGGTGACATAGTGACACCCTACAGAGGTCAGTCACCCTGGTAGGATGTCACCTGGGTCAGGGTTAGCAGATATTGTCAGTCTCCAACACCTGTGTGCAGGACGCAGTTTCCTGAGGCAGCTCTGTGGGCGCCTCAGTCACCACTTCCTTTCCCTTCTCTTTCAGTGCTTTTGTACGTGAGGAAGGAGACTGATGATGTGTTTGATGCTTTGATGTTGAAATCTCCCACGGTAAAGGGCCTGATGGAAGCGGTAAGCAATAAACCCCTGTCAACCTCCAGGCAACTGCTTGTATTCTACCGCGCTGGAACCCATTTATTAAAATGCAGCCTTCAAGATGGCTCCAGAATGTGCTTTATAAAGAGAAAGAAAATGTGGAGACTTATGAAGGGGCTGATCTCCACATTGTTGTGGCTTATTTGCATCTCAAGGAGAAGGAAACTTTGAAAAAGTGCCAATTCCCTGTCAGCTTAAGGCTAATCAGAGTGAGATACCATTGAGGAAGGTTAAACTGTGCGTTTCCACTTGTGTCTTTGCATGAAATCAAATTAGATAAGCTTAACTTCCAGCCATACACAGAACAGAAGCAATTAGAAGTGTCTTGCCAGCTGTGATTGCATAATCCAGAAGAAAAATATCACCTCCTTTGGTTAAGCAAAAAGGATATATATTGCCAAATTATAGTGACTTAAGTAAGATTCTGAAGTCCCTCCTTCCTTTCTTATCCCTAGTTTAGTCTAGCATTACCCAACATTGGCTCAGGAACAGTTATTTTATCCTTTATCCATATGTCTTCCATCTGAATGTGACTTTAATATGACTCTTCTTTGAATATGATTTCTCCCTCCCCCCTTTTTTTCTGTACAACTATGTTGTAGAAGATCCAAGTTTTTTGTCATGATGGGGGCAAAAGGACTGCTGAAGGAGAGTCCAAAGGCAATTGGTGGTCTGAAAAATTGCTCCATTGGAACAGCATCTTGGTTTACGGGACAAACATATTAAAATGTATAGGACAGTGCCTATAAGTAGAATCATACAATATCTGGTCTTTTGTGACTGGTTTCTTTCATTGAGCATAATGTTTTTGAGGTTTATCCATGTTGTAGTATAATCAGTACTTTGCTCTTTTTTATGGTTGAATAATATTCCAATCTGTGGATATACCACATTTGTTTTTCCATTCATCTGTTGATAGACTTTTGAATTTTTTTCCCACCTTTTGGCTGTTATGCACAGTGCTATTATAAACATTCATGTAGAAGATTTGTTTGAACTCGTTTTCAATTCTCTTGTGTATATATCAAGTGGAATTGCTAATCAGCCACAAAATGCCTTGTATTGTACGATTTGAACTTACAGGAAATACCAAGAATAGGCAAATCCATAGAGATGGAAAGATTAGTGGTTTCCAGCAGCTGGGGGAAGGGGGAATGAGGAGTGACTGCTTAGTGAATTCCTTCTGGGGTGATGACATGTTCTGGAACAGACAGTCCTGATGGTTGCACAACATGGTGAATGTACTAAATGGCCCTGAATTGTATACTTTAAAATGCTTAAAATGGCAAACTGTGTGACATGTAGAAAAACTCATTGTGCATCTCAATTTTTTTTTTTAATGAATAGGAGTGTTACCAATGCAGGCTTTGCACTGCCCTCTGTGGTTGGCATTGCTAACGAGTCCTGGCAGTTCTGAGCAGGGCATTGAATACCACCCCCTAAGACACATCAATGGAGGGCTTGGTAATCTTTCATGGGCTATAGGATTTTTCACTGGAATAGAGTTGTTACTGAATTTACTGTGCCTAAAGGCGGGGGAAAAAAACAGAAATGAACACAACAAAACAATCTGTATCTCTTCAGAAGAACCAACATTTTTTAAATGACACTAAAATTGCCAGAGGTATACTTATGAGGTAAGAAGCCTATAAAATATTCAGACCTCTCTATGGTCCTTTGGATGAATTTCATACCCCTAAGTTGACCTTTAAGATTTTATTACTAAAACTGACTTACTCAGGACAGTGGTGAATATAAAATTACCTAAGCAGTTGTTTCAAATGCATATTCCTGGGCATCAACCCCAGATTCTGACTCTGCTAAACCAGAGGCAGAGAGTTGCTGGAGGGTCGGGAATCTATTTCTAACAAGCTCCTTGGGGTGTCTGAGATCAACTAAGCTTGAGAATCACTGAGATAGACCGATTCCGAACTGATTCGTTAAGCTGTGATTCATTACACCTTTTCCCTTGGTGTCTTCCTTTCCCTTGACATCTGGCCCATTCAGTAGCTGTGTGTTCACCAGCCCCCTTAGGGTAACTGTCACTTTCATTCCCACCCAAATGGCCACTGAGTCACCTCTGCCTATGCTCCCTGCCACAGCACAGTGGGGCCTTTGGTCCCTCTTAGGGGGCTCATTACACACCCTCCTTGCTTTGCTTAACTGGGGGTGTGAGGGGGAGGCGTGCACTTGACTTTGTAAGCCTTGGGGAGATCAGGCTCCCCAAGCTGGCCCTGGTCAGATTCCTTAGGGCAGTTCTGACTTCATCTCTCCTTCATTAATTAAACCAGGAAAGAAAAAGTTCAATTAAAGCACCAACACAGCTATCTGCTTGCTTCTAAGTTGTGCAAATGAGAAAGCAGGGCCAGGAAGGCTCCTGCAGGACCAGCAGGTGGTGCAGTCTGGGATGTGAGCTCCAAAGCAACCGCACTAGTAGCCCCTGCAGTTTGGGGCGGCCCCGAGGGACAATGGGTCTATTTAAGTGAATGCTGGAGCAGAATGAGAAGTGAAGTGGGAAGGCAGAATTAAAGAACACTGGATCCTGCTCATGTGGTTGTACCTTAAGGCCATTTGGGACTTGGCTGGAGTAAGAAACAGCTCTCTTCAGGGTTGGGTTCTCTGAGCACCAGCTCCTCACTAGTGTACATTTTACAGCCCTGACACTTAACAACACACACAGGAGGAGGCAGTGTAGCTTGGTGAGCCAGCATCTGGGCTTTGGCCTCAGAAACCTGTGTTCAAATCCTGACTATGCCTCTGACGGGCTGGGCAAGCTTCTTTATGCTCACAGTCCAAGGCCCCACATTCGCCAAATGCTCAAGACAAGAAGGCAGCGTGCCCCTGGCCTCCATGCTCTGTTTCAACTCATAATTTTAAGACGACATCATGGTATATGGGGCTTTATATGTTTTACCAACTGAAAGCTACATTTTAAAAAATCCCTAACTTTCATGGAAATATGTTTTATCAAGAGATATACTTAGCCCAAGTCGTCATATCACTGTCATTGGTTGAAGATGGCTTCCGTGAAAATGGGCCCCCACTCAGCAGGGACCCACCACAGTGGGCCTCAGGTGTGGCTTCTCTAAGTGGGAGATTCCGCTGGAATCTCCCGGCTGCTCTTCAGTGGCACCGTCCCGCAGCCCCACACCTGCCCGCCAGGATCTGGCTCTCTGGGGCCGGGCCCAGGAGTCAGCACTGGTAACAAGCTATCCGGTGGATCTTGAGACACCCTGAAGTTTGGGAGCCACTGCCTGATGTGTGCCTTGGCTAGGACCTGGCCCTAGAGTCTGATTCTGCCCTCAGCTCTGATGTGCATATTCACTCAGAGTGGGAATAAGCCAGCTCATTATACTCTTTTGTGGTCAGATTTCCTGCAGAAACAGTTTGTGCCAGGGGAGTGGCCCTGCAGGCTATTTCACGTGCACAGCCCCGACCTTGTGGGTCTGGGAACCTGGCTCCCTCCTTCCTCCTTCCTCAGTGGTGGGGGAAGACCGAACACCTTCTCTGCTGAAGAGGCCCTCACAGTCCTCCAGAGGAATCACACTTCACAGCTTCAAATGTGAACGCCTGTCTTGTGTAAAGTATGTGTGTGTCTTGCATTTGTTTTTGAAATAGGAACACCTGCTTCATATCAGTATTCACGTTGTTTTTATTCCCTCGTGAATTGGTTTTTGAAAGGTTGGTTGTTTCTCAGCTTCTTTATCTGTAAAATATGCCATCAAGAGCATGAAATGAGTTAACCAGACACACAGTGGATGCTGGCTGGGCAGGTGGTGGCAGTGACGTTAGTGAGGCTGCTGCATCATCACTGAGGTTATTTTCCAATGGAGAACCTTCTCTCAAATCTCCTTAAACTCCAAACTCCCTGTCCTCAGCCAGGAATTATTTAGATGTAGAAGAAAACCCATTCTGGAGGACAAAAAGACAAACAGAAGTTTTGTGAATTATTTCCTTTTTAAAAAAATCATTGGCAAGCAGTGGTAAAATGTTGATCTGTCATGGGGACAGAACCAAACAGTGTTGTCACCCTCCTTCAAATGGGGACTGAAGTCTGAGTCAGAGGAGCCCAATTAGGCAGAGTCAGTCATTGAGCAGTTTGGAGATGGTGACTGTTCCTACAACCTACACAGATTTCCTAGAGTCTGTAAGTCAGGTCAGTTAATAGGATGGAATAGCTGTGTTATCTAGAAATTGGATTGTTTCAATAGTCAGCAGACATTTCACTCTCCCTCAAGATATATAACTGAGTTTGCCTTCATTAAAGAAGTCTCCGGTAAGACCAAGGTCACAGTTCCATCCAAGCAGTAACATGTAGAGGAATATAGGTCGACGGGGAAACTTGATTGGTATGGGCTTGAATCATCACTCTATAAACATGTCTATCTGAAAATCTTTGGATTCTTTCCTTGCAAAACATGGACAATGCCTACCTTGAAGAATTGTTTTATTTCTACCATCCTTGACTTCTCACATTCTTAGAAAGAATCCTTGTCCACACAAAGAGGAATGGAATTATTGTTTAATCTATGTCAAACAGATCCCTTTTCTGTAGGACAAACTAGATAATTCTTCTCATTTTCTGGTCCTGAACGTCCCAGACCTTCATTTCACATGCCAGAAAATCATTATCCTTATAGATCTAGACACCTGGATAGGAAAAAAAAAGTTGTTCTTTGTCAGACAATGTTACTGAGTATTCTCATACTTGGTATCATTTGGATAAAGTAGATTGTTTCTCTTTTCATCCCCATGTTTGGTAGCATGTTGATTGAGCCATCTACGTAAATCTGATGATTTAATTTGGTTTCTTCATTCTTATAATTAAGTTTTAAACTTGAATACATACAAGGATTTAGTGATGATGATGGTGGTAGTAGAGGTAACTGAGTTTTCAAAGGTATCTTTTGGCTTTTCTAAGTCATTTTGCTGAGCAATCCTACAAATAAAGAATCTCTAGCTTCTGTAGTCTTCTT